GTCAGCAAATCCGGAAACTGATCAAGGATGGCCTTATCATCCGCAAGCCTGTGACCGTCCATTCTCGGGCCCGTTGCCGCAAAAACACCCTAGCCCGCCGGAAGGGCAGGCATATGGGCATAGGTAAGGATGGGCCTCCCTTTCTCTGGGACTTAAAGGCTAAATGCTTGATTGGAGGGCTGGGCATACAGTTCTATGTCAGGGGTTTTTTTCCTTCCCACTCTCATCGAGCCCTTCAGTGAGCTGTCTGCCTGTGTACAAATGAGAGTACTGGCACTGCCGTAGTAATTAAGATACTCTTAGTGTGTGTGTGGGGATCCTGTTTATTGTGCCCTTACTCTACCAAGAGATTGGCTGGGATCTTGGCTGTGTGGTACCAAAGCCCCTAGGGCAAACCATACTGCCTTGGTACATGCCCTTGTGTAGCCACATTCTACATGGAGTAGTGATCATTTGTGCTTTGCCGAAAATTGTGTGAGTGAAAGGAATTACAGATTAGATTCTTCCTCTGATACCTGTACTTTTTCCCCTGTCAACCACCTCTAGTAACTGACTAAGCTTGGGTGGTGGGGTGCCTGGGCAGTACTGATAACTGGCCCATCTTAACCACAGGTAAGCGAAAGGGTACTGCCAATGCTCGCATGCCCGAGAAGGTCACATGGATGCGGAGGATGAGGATTCTGCGCCGGCTGCTCAGGAGATACCGGGAGTCAAAGAAGATTGACCGCCATATGTAAGCACGCCCTTCTCTTGGATACCTCACTGCTTTGCTAACTTACTCTGCCTAGCCAGGAGCCCTGCTCACTGGCCTTGGGGAGGGGGCCGCGTGCCTTCGTGAATTCTGGCCTGTTTTGTTTTTATCCTGCCAGCCGAGTTACCTGTCTTGCATGCATACTCTTGGTCTGGGGAAAGTTGTCCCTGTGGTGAGGGGAACCCAGTAAGCTTCAGAGAGGAGCCACTCCCTGGGGGCCTGCTTCTGAGCCAGCACCTCTGCTGCTTCTCCCCATAGGTATCACAGCTTGTACCTGAAGGTGAAGGGGAACGTGTTTAAGAACAAGCGGATTCTCATGGAGCACATCCACAAGCTGAAGGCAGACAAGGCTCGCAAGAAGCTCCTGGCGTAAGTTTCTTCAGAAGTTGACAAGTGCCATGTGGGGGTTGCTTGGCTCTTGCTTAAGGATGAGGGGTATTTGAGGCAGTGGCTTTGGACTCTTGGGCCATCATCTGCATCCATTTAGATCCAAAGTCCAAATGGGACCTATGGAGGTGAAAGAAGCCTGCCTTAGTATTAGGTTTGTGACTTCTTTGGAGGTCTTTGCTTGTGCCCGACTCTTGGCTGGCGTGCACTTTGGAATACCAGTGTTTTGTGAGCGGCGCATATGTCTGTTCGAGACACCAGTGCTTCTCTGTCCCCCACACACCCACATGCCACCTGCCTGTTGCTTTCAGGGCAGGAACTGTAGGTTAGTTGAGGGAGTGGGTGGCCCTGGCAACTTTGCCTTCCTCAACTGACTCAGCCCCAGGGGAGAGGTCTGGGTGGTGCTTCCCTCCCCCAGCAGCTTACCTTTTCTCCTCTACCCAGTGACCAGGCTGAGGCGCGCAGGTCTAAGACCAAGGAAGCACGCAAGCGCCGAGAGGAGCGACTCCAGGCCAAGAAAGAAGAGATCATCAAGACTCTGTCCAAGGAGGAAGAGACCAAGAAATAAACTCCCCCTCTCTTCTCTGTACATAGTGGCCTTGGCGGTTCTAATGATCAGTCACTCAATAAAAGCAAGCCTTGTCGGCCTGCCCCTGAGTTGCTTTTGTTTCTGCCTCATTTTTGGGTGTGGTGTTCGCTGTTGGATGGCCAGAGCTGGCCACACTGGGGGGTTAGGGCAAGCCCTAACCAAGGTCCCTATTGTACTTCCACTAATGCTAGGCGACATATCCATAGGTGTCTGGTTTCTGCCCCTTCTCTCTGGGAAAGGCTCTGGCTTCAGTGGAGGATAAGAATGGCTTACTATCCGTGTGTCCTCTGCTCAGATTTCAGGGTGCTGGGAAAGAAGTGTGACAGCAGCTGAGGTCACATTCATCTGAGACCACAGTTTACTTCCCAACCGTGCCTGAAGTTTCCTCGACTCCAGGAGACCTGAGCTTTCGAAATAGCTTTACTGAGGTTTAGCTATCCACAAAACGGGAGCAAGCTCATTGCTATGTGGTCAATGCCAACAGCCACGCTATTGGACAGGGTGGGAAGGCTCCTGTGAGATTCCAAGTATAGAGAGAGTAGAAAACTTCATCTTTCTCTAAAGTTATAACTGGAGCCCTCTTATTTTGAGCAGTCTTCATTTTTTAAAGCTTCCCTCTCAGAAAATTGTGGTTTATAGCTCATCATCTAGGACCCAGGAGAAAGGTCTCCCGCAGCAGACATGACAGGCACACTAAGCTACAGCAGCCTCCTTCCAGCCACTGAGCTGGTGGGTGAACATGTGTAGACACTGCCAATTGATAGGTGGTGTGAAGTAGGGGTTATAACCATCTCCCATTTTGCACGTGGGGAAAAACGAGTGATGTGTCAAATTCACACAGACTTAAATTAGCAGTGGGGTGGAAAGATGTTTCAGAAGCCAGGTAGAGCTAGGCCTTTGCACGTAGGGCAGAGATCTTTGGTGATGGGTTTTCTGGGCTGAAGATGGCTTGGGTGATGCTGAGTGGGTGCTGCCGGCATTCCGAAGCAGTCATCCAAGTGGAAGGCTATAGACAAGGGGTGAAGTGAGGTTGGGCCGAAAAGTTGGTAGAGGATGCCTCTCCTTGAGCATCCTGGACTGGCATGCCCTCTCCTAGCTACCTTTCTGCACCTCACCTCCCGCAAGGACCTCCAGGTCTCCTAAGGTGGCCCATTAGGAGGCCCTCTGCAGCTGTGCTGGGCAGATGAGAAAGGGCTACTTGGAGCAGAAAAGGCAGGCTTTAGGCTAGGCCCTCGAGCCCTGCTTCTGCTCTCCTCTTTGTCTTGGGGAGTGGGAGGATTGGACAGCTGAGTGGGAGCTGCACAGGGCTCTGCCGCAGAGCCGGAAGAGAGCAGGCATTCATTTCTGGATTCCCCAGCTGTCTACAGCAGCTCTTGTTCTAAGACATAATTCAAAATGGGGATCTGAGACCCAGGCAGGGGAAGGCCGTGACCACACGTCCAGCTTGGTGCATGGGGCACCTCCTTTCCAGGTTTGGCTTGGAGGATGAAAGGTGTTGGGACACCAAATCCATCCCCTTCAGTCCCAAACAGGAGGGAGAATGCAGCCCCAAACGTGCCACCCTCGCTGGGTTCCAGCGCCTATGAATGGAAAACAGCTTCGAACCAAGACCAGGAGATGGCGCTGTTCCCTCACCAGTCACCAGGTGTAAGGCTGCTGACCGGGACTACTGGCTTTGGGGAGGAGGAGGGGAGAGATGGGAGCATGTAGGTGCCTCAAGTTCATGGCTCCTTTTGAGCCTCTCCCCTTGCCCCGGGGTGGTTCACCTCTTCCCACTGTGGGCCGGCAAGCGCTTCCCAAGGCAGCGAGGGGCGGGCCCATTCCTCCCAGTTCCTTGGTCTCTTCCAGGTCCTGAAGCCGTGGGAAAAGCCGATTCCTTCTCCCAGCTCCGTACAACTGCATCCTACGAAGTTTCCGTGCCCTTTCAGGCTCGGTGGCCCACGGAGCGAGCGAGTACAACTCTTCATTTTTAGATAAGGAGGGGCCGAGGGGCCAGTCTCGGCATTGGCCGTACCCTGCAGCCATCTCGGCTGCCTGCTCTGCAGTCTCCAGCCGTGGGAGGGTGTGATTCAGTTGGGTGCAGCGAAGAGGCTGAGCACAGCTGCTGCTGGGGGTGGGGAGCACTGCATCGGCATCCTCTGCCTCCTTCCATGTGGCCAGCTCTCCCCAAAGCAAGACTGCCTTCGGTGCACCTCAACAGTGCACACACACACCCATCCACCCAATGGGGCCCCCCCAGTGGGAGCTCATCAAAAAGGCCAGAGGGAATGGCTCTAGCAAGGTGCATAAAGGGGCTGGCTCTGTCTGGTACCCATCTCTGCACCCCCTCATCCACCTCTCTCCGATTCACTCCTGTTGTGCATCGTGCCCAAGGCTAGGTGGGTGACCTTTAGCCTATGCAGCTGGCAGCCTATGCAGCTGGCATGGGCTGGGGTCCCTGTGTGGTCCTCGACAATGGAGCCAAATGGTAGGCTGGCAGCCCCAGCAGGTTCCCGGGCATTCTCTGCTCCAGGGCTCTGGTGTTGCTGGTCCAGCCACCCCCAGGCCCTGAGTCCAGGCAGCAGCGCCTACAATGGGGGCACCAGCTGTCCCCAGCCCCCAGGCTGCGAGCATGCTGTCAGCGCTTCAGGCACACCATGAAGCTGCTGTGCTCAGCAGTGCGGCAAATGGGCTGGGGCGGAGCTGGGGGTCCGGGCCAGCTGCCGTCCCACACAAATGGGAATGTACAGGAGGCTTGGCTGCAAGGCTCGTGCTGTCCCCAGTGGGGTGAGGGTCTGGATGGTCAGAGCCCCAGGCCCAGCATCTCAGCGTGTCTGTCTCCATCTTTGTAGTGCGAGGCACTGCAGAAGCCCCGGGTAGGGCGGGGAAAGAGCTGAGCAAGAGGCCGGGCTTCTAGGGCAAGTGCAGCCACTGATTTGCTGGGTGACCTTGGGCAAGTCCTTAGCCCTTTCTAAAGGCCTCCGGGTGCTCCTCTATCCAACGGGCATAATCAAGCTGACCTTGTATAAACCAGCTAACGTCTCGGTGCCCTACTTCCTCCTGAGTGGATAGGCCACGTCACCACGTTCCTCGCGGATCACGGAGAGAATTTAATAAAATGAACTTTCCTGGCACTGGAGGTGTCCGCTTACATGCCTTCGCCTGAAGAAACTCCCTCCTCCTCCTCCCCATCGCCAGGGCCTTCCTGGGGAGAAGGGGCCCAGGCTCTTGCCCCAGCGAGTCTACCTCGTGTGGGGATGGGGGAAACCAGAGTTGAGTTAGCCCCAGGAAGCCCCCCAGGAGGGGCCGGCGCCCACCCCTCCGCAGGCTGCCAGCCCCGCAGCCAGCCTGCCCGCCCCTCCCCTGCCCTATAAATAGCGCAGGCGGCGGAGCGGCTGCGATGACGCAGCGGGGAGGGCGGGCGGAGGGCAGAGGCAGCTCTGCCCAGTCCCGGTGGGCCGCGGGCTTGGCGGGGAGGGGGGCTCCTGATGACGGGCAGAAGTGAGTCATCTCAGGGCCCCACTGTCCGCCACTGTTCGCCCGCCCCCTCCCGCCAACCTATCTTGGGCTGTGGGGGCGAGGCTGGTGGCCGCAACCCTGGGCACACGGGGCGGTGCAGCGAAGGGACCTGTGCGCCCGGTTTGTGCCGCCCCCTGACGACTCAGGCGCTCTTCCCAGGGCGGGGGGCTGGCAGCTACCCATACTCTCCTATCCCTCCTCTGGTCCTTCGGGCATCCTTCACCCCTGACTGCCATCTCCTGCCCCGGGGATGCTTAAGGAAACCCACAGATTCACCACCCCCAGGCTTGCAGGCAGGTGGGAACCCAGCCCCAGCCCTTTCCTTCCTCCACCCCAAAGTACCTGTGCATTCGGCGGCGCGCATTGCATCACAGGACAAACACGCAGACACAGGGGGAACGAGAAACATTTACTTAGAGGCCTCAGGCGTAGCAGTGCCCCAGCACACCCATCATGCAGCCTCACGTACAGTGGGCATCATACCCTCCCCGAGGGTATTGCTAGGGGGGCGGGGGGCTCATGGCAGCAAACAGGGCAGTGTGGCTTGAGCCCCCTCCATAGGGGAGAAGTGGGCCAGGGACCTTTGAAGGAAGATCAATGTCCCTCTCTCGGAATGGAGAGGTGACTGTGCGCAGGGTGGGAGTGGCATCGGTTGGCACAGTCAATGGGTTTTTGGGTAGGAGGTGGCACCAGAGAAAAGCAGCTACAAGGGAGGGGTCATTGTTGCATGTGCCCACCCCCTTCTTTTCCTTGTGGCCAAACAGAAGGTTCCACTTGCCCTCAGGCATCTGTCTCCCAGGACTTTGTGTCCAGAACCAGGGAGGCCACACAACCAGCAAAGGGACGCTGGACACAGTGGCCTTGTCCCCTACAGGGCCCCGGGAAAGAGAAGATGGGGAAAGGCCCTTTGGAGGTCAGTCCTGAGGATGGGAACCTGGACCTGGCCTGGTATGGTGTGGCCAGGAAGGTTTGCCTCCCCCAAAGCCAGTGAGATGGGGTTCTGTCAACCAAACATGGGCCAGGTATTTGTTCTCCGTTTGGTTTGCACTCAGGCTGCTTTGGGGTGACATTTCCCAGGGGACAAGGGCAGGGTGCAGCTGCTGCATTTGTTCTACTTGCAGGGATCATCTTGGAGTTGGTGTGGCTCCCTCCTCCCCACTCCACACCCCCAACCTGCCCCTCTGTCGGCCCAGGTTTCAAGTAATGGGAGGTATTCCCACAGAACTTTCCTGAGAATTGACGTAGTAACAGAGGAGGTGGACTCAGAATCCTCCCTCACCCTGGACCCCTACAGTCCTGCCCAAGGTGGCCCATCTCCACTTCCAAAGGAGCAGACACAGGGTCACATGCCCAGCAGAGACTGTGGGGAGGCGGTGGCAGGCATGCAAAGGCGATTGGGGCTCGGAAGACTCTGGAAGAAGCAGCCGGAAGCTCCCCAGGCTGGAGGGTACCTGGAGCTTCCCCATTCCTTCCCAGTTTCTCCTCCTCTCCCCACAGTCTCAGTGGAGTAACCCACTCGGGGCATCCCCACCAAGAACTAAAGCCTTCCTCTGTATAGGGGGCCCCTAAGCTGTGGTGAGTGGTCCCTAGGAGAGAGGCAGAGAGGGAGGCTGTGGACAAGCATGCCTGCTTCCCTCCCAGGGCCGGAAGCAAGGGCCAGGCGTGGGCAGGGGTGGCATCTGCGTTTTCTGGGCTCCTCTCAGATCTCGGTCAGGGTGTCGGCTGGCACCAGGCCCCGCTTCTTGCCGCTGCTGACGCGGATGAAGCCGTCAGCATCCTTGCTTCTGCCCACGCCCACACAGATCTGAGCAGAGAAGAGCGTGACAGGGAGCAGAGAGCCAGCCTGGCCCCAAGTCTGGCTAATGGCCCCAGTCGACCCACCCCAGGGGATGACAGGACAGGATGAAGTCCGCAAGTCTGGGGCTCAGCATGAGGGCTGACACCTGACATCACCCAGTCCACCTCTCCCCCAACTACACAGAGGGAAAACGGCTTGCCTAAGGCCTCACACCGGCCAGAGCAGGAGCTAGGATCTGAACCCAAGCCTCTAGCCTCCTAATCCAGTGTCCCTTCCCCCTCCCCACACTGCCTCTAATGTTATTTAAGTCCCTGTGGGCCCCCAGCCTCATCTCCCAACAGAGGAGGCCATCTCTCCATCGCTTTCCCATCTGCCATTGGGAAGCAGGCATCCTGGCTGGGCATCCTCCAGTGCCCTCTCTGTGCTGCCGCATGTCCACTCTCCAGCGCCCAGACACGCACCTGGCTCTCCCGGAGGCTCATGTACCCTTGTTCCTTGTTCCCAGAGAAAGCTCGACAGCAACGCCAGACATTCTCTCCTGGTCTCACTCGCTGCACAAAATTGGCAGGGAAGAAGCCCACCCGGTCGCCAATCTTGCCCTGGGGATGAAGTCGGTGCTGAACACCTGAACCAGCCACCTCCCGCTGCCCCAAGCCCCCACCCGGGGGCATGGCCACCAATCTCCTGATCCCTGGGTCCTCTGCTCGAGGGCCCCTCTGGGTGCTTACTGGGCAGGGAAGAGCAGGGCATAAGCCAAGGGTCAACAATGAGAGCCAGGCCCAAGGGTTGGTGTGAGCTTGTCCAGGAGGGAAGGTCATCGGGACTTGGTTGAGATAGGGCCCTGCTGCCTCCCTCTGCTCCCCACCCCACTAAGGCCACTGCCTGCTAGTCACCTTCCACCAATCCTCGTTGGAGTCGTCCACCAGCAGGATCCGGTCACCAGGCCTGGCGGAGGAGAGAGTGGAGGGAGTGTGCCAATAGCCCCTGGGTACCCAGACACTCTGCATGTGCTCTGCAGCTAGGAGAGGAGGCTCGCTTCCTTAGCTACTGGGTGCCCACAGCTACAACAGGCCCTCTAGGATGGAGCCGCGGATGGGGGCAGCAAGTGGGGGCTTGGCTCTGGGGGCAGCTCAGGCTCCTGCCTGGACACAGCATCCTCAGGCTGGCAGGGAGTGGGCTCCTCAAGGTCGCTCTCACCCCAGTGTGTCCCTGAGGTTGGAGGCTGGCCAGCCACAGAGAGGACTTACTGCAGGGCCAGGTCATTGGTCTCCTGGGGCAGAAACTTGTAGAGTGCGACGTAGGAGTACATGGTCCCCACATCCTTCCGCAAGAGGGGCTTGGGGGGCTGTGGGGAGAACTCTGGGTCAGTGATGTGGCACTAGGACACCTCACTCCACCCGCTGTCCCTTTGTTCTGACCGCACCTGCCGGGGAGCTAGGAGGCAGACACAGGAAGCAGGGACCAGGGACACGCCCATCTGCTAGACTCACTCACTCATGGGTAGGGGTGGGGAGGAGAGATCTTACTGCGCCTGCAGCTGCCCCCCTAAGATGAGGAGGAATAGGTGCAGCAGATAGTGAGTCTGTATTAGGGGGGGTACCCATACCCCTGCCTCCTAGACCCATTCAGACTGGCCTGGCCCACCGCTATAGCTGAGGCAGAATGGAGTAGCCATCACCCCATGACCCAGTTCAGGGTCAGTGACAAGAGAAGCGACATCCCGAAGCTCCCACCCCAGCCTGATCAACCGGGAGGTAATAGGTCCGAGCAGGGAAACCTCACCTGCTGCCCAGGGCTCTTCTCCTCGGATCCTGAGCCTTCACTCTCGGCAGGGGCTGTGAATACTGGAGGCGATGGGACAGAGTGGGGTGGGTGGGTGGGTGGGCAGGGTGTGAGGCAGCAGAGCGAGAGCACCCCGTTGTGCTCCACCCTGGCCCCTGAAGCGCACCACTCACCACTTTCCCCGGGGCCCTCTTCTGAGCTGCGAATACTGCCTTCTCCATCCTCAGTCAGCTCATCCCGCTCGCTCTGGGGCAGAGAGAGGGGAGGGCTCGACCCCACGGCCCTCATCCTCGGGGGCTCCCTCCCCCCGAGACTCCCCTCTGGCGCCCACCCTACCAGGCTCCGGGTGGGGGACTCTGAGGTGCTGCTGAAGCTGGACCGGTTCATCAACGCCAAGGAGGTGCCGTAGCGCAGCGTCTCGTAGACCGGGTCCACCTTCCCGCTGGCCCCTGCTGAAGAGCCACCCTCAGGCCTGGACCAGGTCCAGATCCTGGATCTCCACCTCGGGGGCGCGGGGGGGCCTGGGACGCCCCGCCCCCCACTTCCCGGAGGGCTCCGCTGCCCAGCCGGCCCTAGAGTGCCCTTTCCATCATCCCCTCACCAGCAGGTCCTCCTTTCAATTGAGGCTCCCTCATCCAGAGGCCTAGGCAGCGCGCTCTGCCTGCCCCTCCCACTCAGACCCCCTTTCACCTCAGCCTACCCCGAGGAGGAAACGGCTCACTTCTCTCTCTCTCTTAGAACAGAGTCTAAAAAGTAACCCTAGAAAGGACCCCAAGGCTTTGCACCCAGCATCCTTTGCCCCCTCTCCCTTGCCTTCCATCCTGCTCCAGTCACGGGGGTCTCCTCTTTGACTTCCTACCCTTTCTTCCCGCCCCAGGCTCTGCCAGGCCCTCAACGGACTAGCGCCTCATCCTTCTCTTCTTTGAGAGGCTTCCTGGCTGCTGCGGACAAGGCCCTTCCCACACTCTCTCTTCATCCCCTGCCTCGCTCACTTGTGGCAATATCCTAACACTGGTTAGCTCATGATCATTTGAATGATTGTGCTTCACACCAATCTCCTTTCTGAAGCCATCGGCTGTGCCTTCTTCAAAGCGGGTCTAGCACAGCGCCTGGCACTTAGGAAACGCTCAGGTAAGAGTTGGTTGGAGAATGACTGAAAGACTGACATTCAGGACAGGGACACCCAAAGAGGAGAAATGGTGGCAGTGCCACGTACGGGCGGTGTCGGTGGGTCTCAGGTGCCCCTTGAGAAATACATGGGTTTCTCATGGCACCCGAGTGGGAGCAGGGGCCCGAGGAGGGCACTCACCCCCGGGTGGTGACTCCCTGCTGGCGGCACAGGCTGGCGGTGGCTCATGCACCAGGAGGGGGGAGCTGAAGTTTCGGCGGAAGGAGGTGGACTGTGGAAGGTGGACAGAGCGAGCGTGACCCCACAGGCGGTGGGCAGGGGGGAATCAGATTTGAGGGGCACTCAGTCCCCCATAGTGCCAATTTCAGGATGTGTCATGGACAGCTGCTCCCCCAGGGGTGGCCCCTCACCATCTTGCCCGGACATTGCTGGTGGGAGATCTCCTCGGAGCACCAGAGGTGGACGCTGGCTTTACATGTCTTACATCGTAAGCCCTGCTTGGAATTTCCTGGAAGATTTTGAGTTTTGTAAGTAGGGCGGGTGGAGAGAGGGCAGGGGCAGGGC